CCCTCCCCCCTCCCCCTCCCTCCCCCCTTCCCTCCCCCTCTATGGGTGTCTGTCACTACTGTCTTCTTTCCGAACTGTCTGAGAGCTGGCTGCTGGTGCCTCCGCCCCCAACAGCAAGGACATTCTGTGCACAACCATAGCTCGGCTTCCAAGCCCAGGCATCCCCGTGTGTCCACGTGTGTCCGTGGTCCCCCGGTCTGCCCAGTGTCCTGGTCTCCTGACCCGCTCTGTCCCTCAGCCTTGCTCTGACCACGTGCCTTGCCATCGTCCAGACTCCAGGCGCCCGTGGTCCCGGTGCCTGGACTCTTGCATCCTGTGCGGGGAGCCCCGCTCTGCACACTTTCCCCCCGGACACAGAGCCCCCGAAGCCAAGGCTTGCAGCCTCTTGCCCTGTTACCGCTTAGCGGTCCCGTGTGTATTTTCTAACATCCGTGTATTCTCTTCTATAACCCTAGCACAAATATCAGGTTCATACAATTTAACTTAGATGCTACACTTCTATCTAATCTATAGAATATGTTCCAATTTCATTCACTTCCCTGATAATAATGATAATGAAATTCCCATAGCACTACATTTCTGGTACAGGCTCCAGCCCAGAGAAGCAGGGATAGCAGGCATCTTCCGAGTTATTTTGAAGCAAGTCCTAGAAACAACGTCACCTGTAAAATCAGTATAAACCTCTAGAAGAGACAGAAACTGTTGCTACAGTACGAGTACGGCGCCTGAGAGACAGCAGCAGCCCCTGGTAGGAAATACCTAGGTGAGGTACGCACGTCCAGCTGCGTAATTCGTGTCCTGACAGTTTTACAGGCGGGACAGGGTTAGGACGGCCCCGTGTGTGACTGGTGGCCCCTCCTCCGCTTCCCTTACCGTGCGGCTGTTGAAGAGCCCGGCTCGTGTGCCCAGGGTCCCCTGGCCCGCACTCCGCGGACGTGTCCCTTCGTGGCGTTCAGCATGTTCTTGTCTGGTTCCTGGAACAGGGCTCAGACTTCCCAGGAGGTGTCTCCTCGGTGCGCAGTCAGAACCTTCATCTTAGCCGCGCGCTTCACAGGGGCGTCCGTGGGCTGCTCGATGGCCTGTCTCAGAGCAGCGGTGGTACCGCGCGTGGGCGCCCCATGTGGCCTGGGACCACCCAGTTTCCCACTTTCCGTCCTGAGGGAGAGCAGGGAGCTTCTTTTCAAGGCAGACACAGCCTCCTGGGGCCGGACCACAGTCACCCACTGCCCAGCCCGGGCGGCCCCAGGCTCGCGGCGGAACTTCCCTCGGTGGCAGGCGCTGGAGCTCGCTGTTCGAGAGGGTGGCAGGGCTCAGGGCCGTGAGGTCTTAGAGGCCCTGCCCGAGTCGGGGGGCAGGGGGCGGGCGTGGGGCTTGCTGAGGAGGGGGCTTTATGTGGGGCTGAGAGCTGCGGGGAGACTGCCCAGTACAAGCTCACTCATCCCACGGGTCTGGGGCTCGGGGGGCGGGGCGCCCCTGGTCCTTCCCTCCAGTGGTGTTTTGGGCCAGCGCCCACCAGACCGGGGGTTCTTTCTTCTCCTTTGTATTTTCTCTTGTCCAGATTTTTAGTACTTCTCTTTTGTTTTTGTGTTTTTGCTTTTTTAACAATGGAAATGGACTTGTATTTGAAACAAGACCCAGTCTGTCTGTGCAGATGTGCGGAGTGCCTGGCCCGGCCGCCCCAGAGTGTGTCCCCTCTAAATTTTTCCCTGGATCCGGGCATCAGGCCCCCCTTCTCCAGCCTCCGACTTGGGCTGGGACCCAGGCTCCGCCAGCCTCACCCCTCCGTCTGGAAGAGGCAGGGGCGGGAGGGGCCGGGAGGTGGTAAGCAGCCGCCCGCAGAGTGGGGCGTGAGCGCGCGGCCGTGATGACTGTGACATGTTGCACTTTAGCAAGTGACAGTTTCAGAGAGGCCTGAAAACCAGCAGCGAGGGACGCCTGCGGCTGGGGGAGGGGAACTGGCTGGGGGCCTGGGGGCCTGGGGGTGAGGTGCCTGCACCCACTCTTCCCCTGCCCCCCAGCACTACCACATCCTGCTGGTGCTGACAGACGGCGTGGTGACCGACATGGCGGATACGCGGGAGGCCATCGTGCGCGCCTCCTACCTGCCCATGTCCATCATCATCGTGGGGGTGGGCAACGCCGACTTCACGGATATGCAGACCCTGGACGGGGACGAGGGCGTCCTGCGCTCCCCGAGGGGCGAGCCGGCGCTCCGGGACATCGTGCAGTTCGTTCCCTTCCGGGAGCTCAAGAGCGTGAGTGCTTGGGGGGAGTCACAGGCCTGCCTGCTGGGGTGGGGGGGTCACAGACCTGCCTGCTGGGGTGGGGGGGTCACGGGCCTGCCTGCTGGGGTGGGGGGGCACAGGCCTGCCCAGACTCCCAGGCCGCCTCCCCTGTCCTGTTGTGAGCATGAGCGGGTCTGCGGCCACTTCTGAGCGCCTAGAAACCTTCCTATTTTGAAAACATGGAACCTCCACCCAGGAGGGCGGGCGGCAAGCTGGGCTCCCGAGAGGGCGCGTTCAGACCCTTTGTGAGAGCGACGCACAAAGGACGTTCGTGATCAGTGGGCACAGTCACGGGGCTTTATGGGACGGGGGATGGGGACAACCCACCTCTTTCCTGCCTCTGTCTGCCTGGAGCCCCGGGAGCCCCCCCCCACCCCCGCCCCGGCCTCCGTGGTGCAGCGCAGACGCAGGCTCACAAAGGTCACCTGGCCGCCAGGTGACTTACTGGCCGGCCGCGGGGAAGGACTCCACCACCACTGGAGGCTGGGTTGGGGTATGAGCAGCTCGGGGGCAGGAGGGCAGGAGGCCCCCGGCTGTGATGTGACCGTGCTGTCCCCGCTCCGAAGGCGTCCCCGGCGGCGCTGGCCAAGTGCGTGCTGGCCGAGGTGCCCCGGCAGGTGGTGGAGTACTACAGCTACAAGGAGCTGCCCCCCAGAGACACCCCCGCCCGGGACACCGGCTCTGAGGGGGCTGGGCAGCCGGAAATGCGGCCAGTCTCTGTCTCAAGCGCCCATGGGGTGCCTTAGGCCCCCCACCTTCCAGAGCCCTCCCGTCCCCCCTCCCACAGGCCCACCCCTCATTCCCCTGTGACCCTGCTGCCCAGGCCAGCCTCTGGGGGCCCCAGGGAACCCTGAAACAGGAGCTGAAGGTTTGGGGTGCGGGCGATATCCCCCCATGCCTGGCCCTGCCCCAGCCAGCGCATAGGGTCGGGGGTGGGGAGGGCTCCCTGAGAGAGCAGGGGGAGGGCCGGCAGCTCAGCCCAACACGAAGGGAAGCTTTTGGATTGGGGGGTTCCTGCTTTGCTGCTGGTCTTCACTGGGGGGCCCGCAGGCTGCATCCCAGCTGTGGAGGAAACCGGGGTGTCCCCAGAGTCCCTGATCACAGCCACATCCCTCTTGCTTCCTGCCTCCACCCCCGCTGCTCGCTCCCACCTCAGCGCCCAGGCCTTGGGGCCTGCAGGCGGGGGCTTAGGCGTAATAAAGTGTCATCTTGTCCTCAAAGCGCTTTGTGCCTTTACTGCCCCCTCCCAGCCCCCACCCTGGGACGGGGTCTCCGAGACTCAGGTTCTCGGGGTCCTTCCCGGACTGAAGGAAGGAGGCTCTCAGGAATGCCCGGAGGCAATGGCGCCCCAACCTGACCCACTGCCCAGAACCAGCCGCGCTCAGGTGGAAAGGGGCTGTCTGGCAGGGCCCCAGGTGCCTCTAGCCTGCAACTCAGCTTCACAAGGACCTACTGTGCGCTCCACACCACACACTCTGTCAGGGAAGGAGCACCACCTGTCAAAGCCCCTGGGCTCTGTGGGGATGGGTTTCTGATTGAGATTTCCCCTGGAATATCTTTCTGGGAAAAAACAAACTGTCCTGACCCTGAATCTAGTCCCTCCCACCCATTCCCATCCCTCCATTCATCCAACCCGTCTTCCTGCCCTCCATTTATCCACCCACCCACCCACCCACCCGTCTGTCCGTCCGTCCGTCCGTCCCTCCCTCCCTCCACCCACCCACCCACCCACCCACCCACCCATCCGTCCGTCCGTCCGTCCGTCCGTCCATCCATCCACCCACCCACCCACCCACCCGTCTGTCCGTCCGTCCGTCCGTCCCTCCCTCCCTCCACCCACCCACCCACCCACCCACCCATCCGTCCGTCCATCCGTCCGTCCCTCCCTCCCTCCCTCCCTCCCTCCATCCACCCATCTATCTATCCCCCTGCACATCTACCCTTCTCTCCATTTATCTACCCACCAATCCATCCATCCATCCGTTCATCCTTCTATCCATTTGTCTGTCCATCCATCCATTCACCCATCCACCCACCCACTCTGGAGACCTGTTTTTAGCTCCTGACTCATCTCCTGTTAGGCATGGATAATAGGCATTGCCATGGTAACTTAGCTACTGCTGAATTCCGGCAGGGCCGATGTTGGTCTCTTTGGGGATGGAGAGGACACCAGAGAAGCAGCCCCCTCCATCTACACTGGGGACAGCAAGGCCATAGGGCGGGGGAGGCTGTGGGTCCCAGGACGGGAGCGGGTGTCAGCTGTGTCCTGACCCAGCCACCGAGCCCTGTATGGCAGAAAGCCTCAGACAGTTCTGGGCTCCATTTGGGACAAAGCCAAGGGAAGTTGGTCAGTTTGGATCCGAGGGGGTGCAGAGTGCACAGAGTCCTCTGAGAAGAATGGGAAGGGTCTGTGCACGGCCTGAGGGTGGGGCCGGGGCCTGACCCTCCTGCAGCTGATGCCTTAGCAGGCACGCAGGGCTCCCAGAACAGGTGAGGCTGGGAGGGAGCGGAGGTGCGAGGCCCCAGCCGCTACCCTCCTCCCTTCCCCTCTGCCCTTTCTTCTTGGGCCAACAGGAAGCCAGGAGCAGCCGCTCGCTCGGAGGATCCCCTCCTGGGCTGGAGGGAAGCAGGAGGCTGGGTGTGGGGCCTGGCCAGCGGGCAGGCTCAGCTGGGCACCTGCCGGGGGACTAGGGTTAGGTCACCCGGTCAGCTGGAAGGATGCAGTGACCTGCCAGTTCGAGCCCAACCTTTGCCTAGGCCTGAGCTGGCTAATGAGATGCGGTCCTGGGACTTGTGTTGACCTTTGGCTTTTCCTTGAGTTGTAAGCTGGTGGCACGGGGGCCAGACCTACTGGGGAACGAAGCCGACACAAGGAAATGGCCCAGAGGAATGGTGCTGGGAGGTGCCTCGTTCTGAGCCCTGAGCTAAGACGGTCCTAAGGGAGCTGTGAGCCCCCTCTCTACCCAGACGGCTGGAGCTGGGTTTCCATCAAGCGCCACCCTAAGATTCTGGCCCAGAAGGACAGCAAATATGCCCATTTCACAGACAAGAAAGGCAGGACTCAGAACAGTTAAGTGAGTCGCCCAGGGTCACAGTTAAAGACCCACCAGCTCCAGGCAATTCCAGGATTTATGTCTGTCGCTACCTCTTCCATCAAGGGACGTGAGATCTGGCTCTGGACCGCAGACAGGCTTCCAGGGAGGGAATACGGACAGAAATACTGCCAGTTGCACAGAGACCTGCAGGGCTCCTAACAGCACAGGACCTGGGTCTCCTCAGCCATCAGAAAGGACCAGAGTGTGCGCTGGCCAGGGACCCCGTGGCTGGGGCCATCCTGGGACTGGCTGACCTCAGAAGTAGCCTCCAGCACACTCTTTGGAGCGGCCCCCTTGTCGGAGGATGGCCTTGGGATTTGCAGACAGCTTGAATGTGCTTTCGACAGTTAGCTGCTTAAGCACTGGTCCGGAGTCACCCTGGACAAGTCACCTCCCCAGCTTTAATTCCTTGGAAGCCCCTTCCCCTGAGAGGTGGGGTGAGTGTCCCTTCTCCTAGCACCTGGGGGGGGGGGTTGGGGTCCCATGTAACCCTCCAAGGCTTGGCCACGACAGTGCCACACTCTGCCGCCTTGCTCACTTCAGGCACTGGCTCTCGGGACCAGCTGGCAAGCTGCAAACAAGCCCAAGTGGCCCGTGGGCAATGGCAGGCACGACTGGCTTCCCGCGTGCTGTGGCCTCCTGTAGCCCGCTGGGGCCCCCCTGCACCCTCAGGGTGGGCTCTGAGCCAGAGCCCCGGGCAATCGTCTCCTGTGCTCCAGAACCGCAGAAACGGTTGGAAGGTACGAATCCGTCCATGTTTGTTGTTCTGAACCACCAGCTTCTGGTGTAACTTGTTACGCAGCAGCAGGTAACTGATACGCCCACTTCATGGGGGCTTGTAAGGGTGGAGGGGAGGTGCCCCGGCCTCGGCACAAAACGCCAGTTCGGTAAATAAATAGCAGTTTTGCCAAGGAGCGTGGCTTCTGTCTCTTGTTCTGAGGACAGTTGTGCCAAAGCCCCACCTCTCTGATTACACACCTGCCCCTGCCCCCCCCCACAGAGCTGAGGCCGGGCCTCAGAGGCTAAGGACTCCCTGTCAGGCACCCCCCCACCCGCAGGGCCGCCCTCTGGGTCTCTGAGCCTTGGGCTGGAGGGGATGAGAGCAGGGGTGGCTCCGCTTCTAGGCTGTTCTTTCTTCTGCTGCTGAGAAGAGGCACAGGCGGGACTGTGCTAAGTGCTTGTAATTGGCGTGGGGGCGGCAGCCGGCTGCCAGACGAGGCACCGGGGCTCGTGGGCGACACCGATTTCCTGGTTCCCCGCCCCTCCCCCCGCTGCTCTGACACGTGCCCTTGCCCAGAGCTGAGCCCTTCCCCCATCAGGCTGTGCCAGTGCTAGGGAGCCCCCCGCAGGGAACTTCCTGCTGTCCGGTCCTCACCAGGCGTCCGTACGGAATCCCCACGGCCCCGTGGCCGCCTCTTGCGAGTGCCGTTTCCCAGAAGGGGACCAGGCTCAGAGAAGTGAAGCCAGTCGGCCCAGTGAGCACAGCTGGGGCCGTGGAGTGAGTTTCGGGCTGCGCCTCGGAGCTGGTTCCTGGCTGTGCGCACGCGCCTGAGTGTGTGCGTGTGTGGGGGCACCTCCGTCCTCAGCCGCTTTACCGAAGCCTCTTTCTGAGCCCCAGCAGCACGCACGCTCGGGCCACACACAGCCCTCTCTCTGCCTCCTGAAGCTAGACGTAGGCTGACACAGGCCAGGCGTGACCATGTGCTGAGGGCGGCTGCCTCCTGTCATGCCCGCGGAGGGGAGCGTCCAGTCCATGGGACACAGATATTCGTGGCCACCTGATGCTTGTCCTCTCTTCCGTGCCCGGATGTCAGCAGGGCTCAGAGTTGTCCTGACTGCACCTCAGCTAAGGTGGGAGGGAGGGAGGGTGAGCTTCTCTACCCTGTGTTCCCATTTCTTGGATTGAGATATAATGGCTGGAGGTCAGCAGCCCTCTTGCACCACAGGTGAACCTGGAAGTGGAAACCGTTTCTACCACGTAGATCGAGAAGACAGGGGGCCCAGGTCCTAAAACAGCCTCTGCAGAATTTCTTGAACGTGAGAGATTGATAAACTTGAATCATCCACATGATGGGGCCTAACACACTCAGCATTTACATCAAGTAAGCTTCTGGAAAGCGACTGCCACCGTTGTTATGGGTGTTGCTATGGGGAAAACCTCACAAGGGGCAGCCGGCTCAGACTTGGTGGTCCAGGAAAGCTTCCCTGAAGAGGTGGCATAAGTGGAGACCTGACGAGTGGAAGGGGCAGTGACTTCTCAGAGCCACTTGCTGGGAGTGCCATGTGGGTCCCTCCCATGTGGGACCATCAGAAGCTCCTCACAGTCTCCTGCATTCCGCCCTAACTCCTTGCTCGGGGTCAGGGCCTGCGTCAGGTCCCCTCAGACTGTCCCGTCTTCCTCTCCTTCTGGGTCTTGGACCTCATTACCGAACATAGAAATTTTTTCTTCTTCTAACAAAGGCAATTTGTGTTCTTGGTAGAAACTAGAAACTCTAAGTAAGCACCAGTAATGACGGCAGGCACCAGCGCACCCCCACACGGAAGCCATGTGAGCACCTTGGCGCATCCCCCATGAATATTCACACACTTATTTGTAACAGAGGAAAACTGTCACTGGGGTGAGTGCCATGTAATAGGACCGTGCTGCTCACACACACCACAGCTGGCCGCCGCCCTTGACTCTCACGGCCAGAGGAGGCGCTATGCTGCCCCCCCCCCGGTGGTGCACATGGCCCCCCCCACCCCCAGAGGCCGGCATGTGTGGGCAGCACTGAGGGGACCCAGGGGTCCCTAAGACGAAGGGAGGACAGGATGGGCCTGCGGCAGCGGCAGCCCCATGCCGCACAGGGACCCCGCCCTCCCGCGCCACGTCAGCACTTCCGTGCCCTGGAAGTCACCCCCCGACATAAGCCCACGTGATTCCCCATCATCCCATGCCAGTGGCTGTGATTTGTCATCAGGAGCCACCTTCAGCGGACGCCCCGCGTGAGCCCGTGCCGGCTCCTCCCAGATGCTTCCACACGGCCTCGTGGCCCACTGCCAGCGACGGACTTCCAGATCGCCCCCTTGCCCTTTCGGGCTGCTCTGAAGTAGCCTCCGAGGCCAACATGCTTGCGCAC